AGGTAAATACAGGGTTACACAAATGTAGCAGAGTGGAAATACCAAACGTTACTCTATATGGTGACTTCACTCAGATTTTGCCTAGGTAACCTTGGCGGTCTTCTGACAGGTGTGGGTGGAGAAGCTTCTCCAGGCAGGACATCCTGGCTTGGATGTGAACAGGGTTTTCTTTTTCGAACACCCCAAAATTCTAATGTGTTTTGAGATTGAGGAAACTGTTCCTGACTGGTGGACCTATGTGGTAGGTGTTCAGTCAACATCTGAGCTCCATTTCTCCATCCCCGGTTTAGGGGTTTAGAGCTTAAAGTGAACTCTGTAGTGTTGGGCTTAGTTGTTGTTTTGGAGATAGAATCAGCTGCTCCTTCTGTGCCCCTATTCCTGCTCCGTAAAATGATAATGTAGGAGAAGCTGCTCCCACATAACGTGAGAGAGTACGAGAATCCCTTCGGGGTTAATCCCGACTTCACCTTCCCCTGAAAGAAAATTCTGCAGCTACTGCCCTGGAGGAATTCAGTCCCTTCTGCTGTTTGTTTCTGTTCCCTTTCTCAGTGTGTCCCGTTATCTGTTTATGTGAGGTCGGGTTACCCATGCCCGCTTACCTTTCTTGGAGGCCTTGACGGAGTCAGAGTGTCTACGGTAGGGGGTAAGGTGTGGAACCGTGGACGCCACTGATCTTACATACAAAAGTTAAGTCCTTGTTTTCTTTGTCTGGGGAGAGAGTCCCTCAGACTTTGACACTGCCTGCCATCCCCGTAGGATGCAGAACCTTTGGTATCTACTGTCTCTGTCAAAACCAGATTGCTATTACACTAGAAATGTTGCTCCTGCCTTCAAATCGCCCTTACCAAGCTTTTCGTGGAAAATTCAGAGTCATTTCACAGGCCATCAAGATCTGAGATGGTGTGGACTGCCTGAAGTCAGTTCCTCTTTATAGGGCTACGTACAGAGGGTATTTAAGTCTGATTCGGTGATAATACAGAACTTACTGAATTTCTGGATTCTTAAGCATCTTATGTGTGTTCCCTTTTTCCTGGTTTTTGAGTAGACTCTATCTTTCAGGAGAGAAAAATGAACATGTACAAGAATCACAAGTGAAAACAAACAAGCGAGTCCGTGAGCCATTGGACGGGGATGAAAATGCAGAACCGTGTGCGAAGCACGTGAAACAGAACACAGAATCGGTGCCTTCAGTTAGCAAAGACACTTTTTCTTACATGGGTATATTTTTCTTGGATTTTTAAATATTCTATGTAATAATCATGAAAATAGGTGTAAAAACTATTCCCACTTAATGGGGGAAATTTGAGCTAATGTTTACCATCTTTATTCTTTAAGAAAAGGGTTTTTTTTTTAATGTTTATTCTTGAAAGAGAGGGAGAGAGAGACAGAACATGAGTGGGGGAGGGGCAGAGCGAGAGAGGGACACAGAATCCGAAGCAGGCTCCCGTCTCCGAGCTGTCAGCACAGAGCCTGACGCGGGGCTTGAACTCAAAGACTGAGATCACGACCTGAGCCGAAGTCGGACGCCCAACCGCCTGAGCCACCCAGGCGCCACCACCTTCATTCTTATCTGAAAAGATTATCTAAAAATCTCAGGTTACTCTTTTAGAGTTGATCAAACTGCAGAATTACTAAGACTTTGGACTTTCATTAGAAAAGCATTATGTGGCCTACAAATGAAAAACATTATAATCTTTTGAAATATCAGTATTCTCTGTGCACACAGGCTTTCAGGTCACACGAGAAAGTGCAAAGGCTTCAACTTCTTCACATAAGAAAGGGCCTGCACAGAGCTCTCTTTCAGCACCAGTATCTTCACCGTGGACGTTTAGCCTTTGCAAAACATAAGTGATCTCACCTTGTCCTCTACCTCTAACTCCAGGGACCCGTTTATATTTAGTGACTTACGGCATACAAAGCACCTTTTTGTTTTTTAGACGTGTGAACAGAAAATAGGAATAAGTAGCATTTTTATATAAATCGCTGTATTTGTGGTTCCAAGTTTTCTCCAAGAATAAGCCATCTCATAATTTAATTCAAGGAAAACCAGTAGAAAATTTTGTTAACCTGTATCACACATGTATAAATCGGAGCAGCTGGCTGGCTCAGTCGGTAGAGCATGCGGTTCTTGACCTAGGGTTGTGAGTTCAAGCATCACGTTGGGTATGGAGCCTACCTTGAAAAAAACAAAACCGTGTAAATCAAGTTTGCAGTTAGGTAAAAAGACCAAACGTTCTTGATTGGGTTGTTTGCCAGCAGTAGTCAGAGTGTGTATCTGTGGAGTGATTGAGGGATGGCCATTTCTAAGGTACTAACGGTGGCTTAAGGTACGGTGGCACCTGGCGCGGTGCCTGATGGGTACTCTCGTTTGAAACAGTTCGGTGACCAGGAAGGTAGTCATGTTGAGAGTGCCAAATTCAGTTGAGCCAGGGATCCTCGCCCGGCACCCACGCTCCCCCCACACTCCCAGCCCCGGGGATCCTCCCCCGACACCCACGCTCCCCCACACTCCTGGCCCTGCTCTGGTCGGGAGCGTGCTGTTCTGTCACTTAACACCTTCCCTCTTCTTCCCTCCCTCTCTGCCTTGTCTGGCCTGCAGTCCTTTTGACGAACAGCTCATAGAGCCAGGCCTCTGTTTGCTCCCATGGCCCTGCTTTTTAAGACCTGCCAACTCAACCCCTCCTACCGCCCTGCTGAGCGTGTTCTGGTCACATCTGGGGCCCTAGAGTGGCCTCATGTCAGTCCTTTTCTGCCGTCTTCCTTACAGCACTGGTATGTTGATCAGACCCTCTGTCCTGATGGAAAGAATAAAGACCATAGTTTCCTTGAGGCAAATATACTAAGAAAAAAAATTAGACCAACGTTTATCAGAGGACGAGACCTTCTAGCGGCCAGGTCAGGAACTGATCATGTTTTCCTGGACAGAAAGTACTGACCGCATCGAACAGTACCCTCGCACTTTAGCCTGTGGACGCTAGCTCAGTGAGTTTGTGAAATAGATCCTCAGTTTTAGTGCTCTTGATCCAGTGGCACTCACTGAATTCCCTCTTCCAGGAGACTTTGTCGTTGTCTACACTGACGGCTGCTGCTCCAGTAACGGGCGCAGGAGGGCACGTGCGGGAATTGGTGTTTACTGGGGACCGGGCCATCCTTTGTGAGTAAACAAAAAAGCCTTCAAATCTGAGTGAATCTTGGCCCAACACTTGTGAGGGAACGACCCGGGGCGTGACCACCTGGCGCGCGGCTTTGGCGGAGGTGACACTGACAGCTTTGTTGCTCAGGACAGAGGCCTCAGCCTTCCTTTCTTGGCTCTGAGTCCTGACGCGTCTCTGTGTCTCCCTGACAACCTCTTATACCCAAATGACCTCCCTGCCCCCGCTAGGCGAGTCACAGGTCTCCTGCGGGGTGGTTTTGGCAAGGATGTCCCAGGGGCAGGTCGCCAGACTTGGAACCCCGCGCGTCCCCATGACTCTTCCGAAGACCTGGGGGCTCAGAGGTGACCTCCCGTTTCCCACAAGGCGCAGAGTTGGGATGATGCCAGGTGTGGTCATTCACAGGTACCCGCAGCAGTGTTAGGCATAATGTAAGGTAAACTGTTCGGTGATCATAAGGCTTGACATTTCTCTTGATCTATGGTCTACTGAGTTCTTTCCCCTTAGTATCCCACTTTAGCTTTGAACCCTGTAAGAGGTGGCGAACTTGGGTTGCACTGAGTGTCTGGGCTTAGTGTTCGTCTGAGACCATGCACTAATGTATTTTAGGGCCAGAAATAAAACTTTGCTTTTGACTTCTGGCCCAGGATTCTTTACTAGACCATCCCATGATGCTTTTCCATAAAATGTTAGTACTGTCGGCTAACATTCCTTTGTTTGATGCTTTGATATGTCAAAAAAATATATACAAGCCTATCCTCCATTGAGAGGCTTATGGAATCGCTTTGAGAATTAACTTCATCTTCCTTTGTATCGTTTTGAAACCAGGAACTTAGGCATTAGGCTTCCCGGGCGGCAGACGAACCAAAGAGCAGAAATTCATGTAAGTCGTCAGACACGTTTCCCACCAAGTGTTAAGTCCATCGTGGCGGCGAGCTGCATGCATGCTGTGTGTGTAAGATACTCAGAGTCCAGAAGAAACTCAGCTTGTGGTTAGTAACAGCTGCAATGGATAGGGATTTCCCAGAAAAATCCTAGAAGTGCTTTCACAAAAACGTGCAAATAGCTGTACGTGTAGCATTGTTTCGTTGAAAGAGTGTACCCCCTATACTTAGCACAGAAAGAGAAAGACTGTTAAAGTGGCGGAGTGATTTCGAGCATTAGTGAAGTTGAGCGTTGCGCAGTTTCTGTGGTGTGCTGACTGACTGGTTTCTTCAAGGCAGCCTGCAAAGCCATCGAGCAGGCGAAGGCTCAGAACATCAAGAAGCTGGCTCTGTATACGGACAGTATGTTTACTATAAATGGTAAGCTCTTACCTTTCGTTGCTTCTGGTGTTGTCCTAGTAAGCACAAAGGGAAATGGGATTCCCTTCTCCAGTAGGAGGGATCGCATCGGGGCAGAACGCAAACGGCAGGTGGGGACCACGTTTGGTTTGTCAGAGACCAAGAAAAAGGTGAGGTTCTGGAGCCCAGTTCTGCTGCTCCGCTGTGTGCCCCACAGTCAAGGTGTTTGTCAGGCACCGAGCACGGGGCAGTGGGGTCGGTGCGCCCCTGCTCTCGTGGTCCTTAGAGCGTAAACAGCGTAAGTACCTTTCAGGGGGCCGTGCTGACAGCTCCTTCGGGAAATTCCGTGTTCAGGACGCGGGGTGGGTGGCTGGGGAGGTGGAGAAGGCGGCCTCTTAGGCTGGGAGCTGTGGGGTCAGCACAAGTCTGAGCGCAGGGCTGAGCAGGGGAGCGTGCCAGGCCTGTGCCCCGGGCCAGAGGACAGCCCGTGCGGGCAAGTGGCAGCTGCACACGCTGGGCGTCTTGCATCCACACGACTCCTGAAACAGAATGCTAAGGGCACCAGTGACCGTCACAACAGAGTTTATTGCAATGAGAGGCAAGGCCGACCGATCGGGACAAACGCTCTTGATCAGCGTGTGGCCTCGAACAGCCGGGGTACAGAGTTTTTATAGCCGATCACATCGTTTTATCATCACCTGGGAACAGAACAGAGAAACAGTTCCCAGATGAGTTAGAAACACCCCAGATGAGGTGATTGTTTTAGACTTTCTGCCGTTAAGTCGCAACCAGTGGATCCTCCTGACCCTGCCTCTGATGCTCTTTTCTTTGAACTTTTGTTTCCTTAATCGGTGAAGCCTGATTTACAAGAGTATGAAACGTAATTTACAAGAGTAAAGCAAGGCTGTTACCTCTTAACCTTCAGCGTGAGAACAAAGCTGTTATTTCTCAAGCTACGTGTTAGCCCTACACTAGTTTAACCGTTACAGGCGGAAGAGGGGGCGGGTGAAGGAGGGAAGTCTGGGGGAGGAGCAGAGACCGGGCCGTTCGAGCTCGCGGAGCTTACTTGACGAGAGCGTGTACTTCTCACAGGGATCACTAACTGGGTTCAAGGTTGGAAGAAGAACGGGTGGAAAACGAGCACGGGGAAAGACGTGATCAACAAGGAGGACTTTGTGGCGCTGGAGCAGCTGACCCGCGGCATGGACATCCAGTGGGTGAGTGTGCTCCGAGCCGGTGCTGTCACCTGGCCGTCGGGACCAAATGTTCTAAGTTAACTGCGAGATCAGTGGTTTCTGTGAGTGATTTAACGACTTGAGAGGTAAAATAACTGTTTGCACGAAATTAACACCATAGCGCGTGTTCGAAATTGGAACACATTTGACTCTCGATCATCACGGAAGTAACACTGCTCATTATTGGTATGATCGTGTGTAGACCACACTCTTCAGGCAGCGTTATAGACGGATGTTCCGTATTCTTTCTCTTGTCTTCGCGGTGCTTACTAGTGCCTGGTCTGGGCTCCCTCTCCTCCCCTCCCACTGTTAAAGTGACTTGTGACAGTCACTGTTGGTTTCTTGGGAATCAGCCATAATGTCAAGATAAAACTAATTTATGAGGAATTTTTAAAAAGTAAAGAGTGATAAGACTTTAGTAACATGACTTCTTTTCCAACATGGAAATGTTTTTCTTTTTTTTT